CACCAGGTAGTCTTTAACAGTTGGGAGAGACACGATTTACTACAGCAAGATTCAGCTTTAACTTTAGTAGCAAGAATTTTAAGCAAGTAGCTAAGTTATGGATACAGTCTCTATGGAAGGTTGTGCAACTGCACTAAATACTTGCTGTGGTGAGGGTTGGTTTGGGAACACAAGCTGACGGTCTTTTTGGAGTCTGGTTCCGGTCAGGGCATCAGTCCAAGTACTGTGGAGGCATAGGAGGGTCCCAGGAGACAGCAGGCGTTCTGGCTCAATAGTGGAACGCCATGCTGTCTCGTCTGGGCGCTTATATACTGCTGTAGGGGTGTGGGGAGGAGCCGCCCAACGAATCGGCGCACTTCCGCGTTCCACGGTGGAACGCACCCGGCCTTCGAACCCGGAAGTGACGAGCGTGCGCTCCACCGTGGAATGCAGCGGCGATCCGAGACGCGGCTGGCACCCGAAGCTTAGGTATGCGGCGGTGGCCGTTACATAATGTTCATCCACATGCTTTCTGCTGATTACCTAACTTACAAAAGTATCCTTCAGAGCTAGATGAAAAACTTTGCCAGCCTTAAACATTTTGTAGAAAGATGCATGGTCACCTAGATGCTCTGCCCAAACTCATATACACTATATGGCCAAAGTTTGACCATCATACCTATATGAGCTTGCTGGACATCCCATTCCAAAGTATGCTTATGTTCATATGGTATCCTAACCTCCGCCTGGGAAGGGGGGTGGGGTGCGGAGTTAATAAAATGTATTTTCTAAAGAGGCCTTGTCTATGTACCTGTGCCTCATTTTGGCATGGCACAGGTACATAGACCACATAGTTGTCATTTGGACAGGTAACAGAAATTAGATACATGAATTAATCATTATTGATTTTAACCTCTCAGTTGCACTGATTAGTAGTATCCCATAAAGTTAATCTGAAGATTAGAAGAAAATATTTAAATTACGTTGACTTTGAGGAGAAGGCAAAACATCTACAGGGTAGGCTATTAGTGGGCTATAGCAACAAATCCCGTAAAAAGGCATCCGAAAGAAAAATAGAGGGTAAGAAAGATTTTTTTTCTTCATCACTAAATCTTGAAAGGACTCCAATACAATATAAATTCTCACTCATTACACCCCATATCACAAGCAGTTTCAACAGACCTAATCAGTATTAATACTTAACTTGTAACAGTTTTGGAAGGCAGAGAGAGAAGATATTCCTTAAATGGCATTTATGGTCCATTTCTATTAGGGATGGACTGATTTATAGCCATTACAATAATATACAGAGTGGGGATCCATGCATCACTAAAGGTACATCTAAAAGTGGTGCATGTTATCAATGCACCTGGATATAATAAGTTATGTGCAAAAAAAAGTAGAGTTTAATTGTACTTTAAGTTATAACCCCTTCTTATAAGAGTACCTACATTAGTTTATGTTTAGAAGGAGTGTGAAATGAGCAAACCTAGCTCCTTCCTAGCATCAACGTAATTAATATTATATACTTTTTGCAGTAATGTATTAGTATTAATATGTGATATTCATCCTATGTTTAATATCGTATATGTATACTGTATTTCACTGTCAGGTTATTCTTAATTTGTTTTTGATTATCTTACAGGGTTGTTGGAACTTGATATTTAGCTCTTGGTCCAGCTTTGCTCATTTGGGAACGAAGGGGGGGACGAGTGTGGACCCAATGCTTACTTTCCAGATTTCCATTAAGAAAAACATTAGGACCATTTTGCTTGCCCTTCAATGTGTCACCTAAGGTTGATCTGCTCTGTCGCTCTTTAGTCCCTATATCAAGTTTATGAGACTGGCGCCTAGCGTGTCTGGGGCTTGCTCACCATTCAGTGGAGGGTTGTGGCCAAGAACAGAGTCTGAGCTGACAGATTCAGCTGTTGCATCAATGATTCTGATGTTTTCTGGGGTGGAGTGCACACCGAGGAATCGCACCTGCACCGCTCATGACATCACACACCATGCTGGTCTCGGTGGGCGAGGTGGCAGCACCAGATATGAGATGCAACTGGGCCTTCTCCCTTCTGTTGAAGGTAACTATTTCCTGGACCAACACTTTGTGTAAGAGCACAGACATAGATCATTTGTCATTTTTTTTTTGCTAGTATTGCAACAACTGGCTTTTACTCAGACTAAAGCCCTGTTATATCTTGACTCCTGTGTAAATATGGGTAATCAGATATATTACATTTATGTCATCATATAAGTCCTTTTACATTTTGGACTAACTTTGGTAAGGCTCCTTTAATTTATTGTTTGCCAGATTAGCCTTTTTATGCCGGTGTAGAGATATCAAGCATTAAGATCTATATTATGTTTTGAGCTATATATGGCTACAATATTAGTGGTAGCAAAAAAATTTAATGGATACATGTTGTATCAAATCAGTGCTGCTATTGTATCAATCATGTTTTTAACTTTTTAATGATGTATTTTTTTAGACATTTATGGTGATCGCTCGCCCAGCGGATTGGTCTTTGGAGCCGGGACACTCACTTGATGCCGGCCGTCTGTTAACCCTGTTTACATTTAGGGGCGGCTCAAGGAGGTGGTGTGTCTGTGCGTCCTATATTCCCGCAGCGGGGCAGGTGGTTGTCATGTGTAGTCATTTGTTATTGCTAGGCGCACAATCATCTTGTGTGATGTCTTGCCCACATTCTGTGTATCTGATCAGTCACTGCCAGAGCATGTGTCCTTCGGCCGGCTCACTAATATGGTAGATTACTCAGTTCTCCTAAAAGTAACACCCCCTTATTCCTGATTGGCCAGAAAAGAGGTATCCTAGCAACAAAATGCTTTTGGCTGATTGTTCGTTTTTTGATCCTATTGAGGCTCATCGATCGACCACAGAGTACAAATCAGCACATTGCTAGTCTACTACTCAGCTCTAAAGAAGGGGGAGTATCCCTGAAAAGCTAGAGGTAGCATCACTCTGCGCCCAGCAGAGCTCCTGGATAATTTACTCATCTTCACAGCAGTTCATTCATTGAGGACTATCAGTTCATTTGATGTTATCTTGCTCCACTTGTGAGTATATCATATTGTATTAATATATTTTTTTACCAATCAAAAGGATTATTGCACCAGGTCAGGTGCCCAGTGTTTTTTCTTCTTCTTCCTTTAATTAACATTTGTAACTTGCATGAAAAAGAAATCTATAATGAGACTATTCCATGTCATCGATATAATAATATTATATACAATATTATTATATTGATAACAATAAATAAAATAATGATAACATAATTTTGTTTGCAGACTGACTTTCGTAAATTAGTTATCAGCTGGGAGCAATTCTTAGTGGATTTGTTTGGCTATTATTAAGTAAGAAGATTTCTAGTTATTCTGCATGTAATTGGCATATGTTTTTTCTATAGTTATAAGGGCTTTGGTAAACTCTATAACAGGGGCGCCCACTATTTTTCGTCTGGAGATCTACTTTTCAAATGACGAGCTCATTGAGATCTACCAACGAAAAAACACCTGCATTCAGGGGCGGGAGGGGG